CTGAATAAAAGATTTTTTTTCTAAATAATTAGAAGATTATGATTTTTTTAATTCACAAATCGACTATACTAGGTCACCTTTGAGTAATGGAAATCTCTGTTTAAACATTCTTTTGGCAACAGGCACCGAGCATTAGATCTTACGTCCAAGCTCTACCAGCTGGGTTTTGTCATTAACATTTATTAACAATCTAAGATATGGTTTTGCTGTCTAATCCGTACTACACAAATGTTTTGTAAGGCCCTCCGGAGGATTTTGCTGTGACAAATTACTGGCAGAGATTATAGCCCCGTGGCTATTCACCAGAGGCAATGTAAAATTAACATGGTACTAATCCAATTTAAACAAAAAGTTGCACAAACAATCTTCTGAACAAAAGCAGAGAATTCCAATTTTATATTTAAACACAATAAATGTGTTTTTAATAAAAAGTTATAGAAAAAAACTGAAGTAATTTTCACATATATGAATTGTGCTTATTTGATAGTTATTAATTTTACCCTTCCAAAAACAGTTAGTGGCAGAGCACAACTCACGATGGTAATCCCTAGGTCTATTACATTTCTCGGTGTTGCATCCCAAATGTGGTCTGTGGAACATCAATGATTCCTAGTGACCTTGAAATCTGTTTACAGTGTTGTTTCTAAAGCAGAAAGTTTGTGGGGTAAGGAATAGAATTGGTCTGCAGTGAAGATCACTACACTCAAAAATGAGACTGTTTTCTTTCATGAAGAAGAAGTTTAGAGATGAACTAGTAATTTAACATTATGTTTTGTTTTCTTCTCAATATACTTACAGTAACTCAAGAGCAAGGGGACATCGGAACTTTTGGGATATCCTCTGTTATTAGGAACCAATAGCTAAAATTACTTTGCCAATGGTTTTCAGGCGAGAGGGTACAAAATGCATAGGGAAACAGAGTAAATAGAAAATAATGGATCAATTGTAAAGATACAGAACATAGTAAGTGTATGAGGATGTATATGTAAGTAAGGAGGGGTAACTGGGTGGGAACCTTTTACACTGAATCTCCTTTTAAAGGAGAATACCTCAATATCTCAGTGTAACAAAGAGCCATGAACTTGGAGGATTCTATTCAGAACATTACTTCCTTGTATTTTAAAAACTACCTTAGTGAAAACAATGTCTTCAGTCAATATACACATATGAATATAACTTATCAGTTTACTTCAAGTTAAAAGTTCTTGCATGGATATTTCTTAATGAGAAACATGACAATTATGATGAAATTATTTCAATTAATGATTACTCGTTTCTCCAAAGGAAATGCTCTAATCAGCAACTAAAACTTTTTCATCTTTTCATTACTAATTTTGGAAATGCCTTATAATTAATTACCATTAAATTAATCTCTAATCCTTTACTTTGCAAATTCTTCAATGGTAGGCAGGCACTAACTTTCATTTTTTTCCCCTTCTACTCTCTATTTTAAATGAGAATGAATGAATGAAAGAATGAACAAATGAAATAACTATAGATGTTTCTTCCCACTGAATGTACTCTCATCTCTTTATACCCAAATTTTAGGGAACACAGCTACTGACACTCTTGCATATCTGCACATTTAGCCCTTATGTGTTTTCCCTTCTGTACAGTTTTTTTACAGAACATTACTAAAACTACCATCCAAAGTACTGTTATTATTCAAACTATATCCTACCTTATTCCCCTATCACTATTACTATATAACATCCTCCCGATCTCTAGAGTTAAAATTTTTGTTATTGTTGGTGCCTATCATTTCTTTGAATAGCTAGTCAGTCACAAATCCCTCCAATATTTGTTCTGTTCATCAAGGTCCAAAGCTACCATCTCATTAGGTCCCCAACAACTGAAACCAAGAACACTACACAACAGCTTTATAGCTCCTCTCCTTTTAACAACAATTACTATTTATTGAGCACATACTATGTACCAAACACTGTATTAAATGCTTTAAAAACCACATTTAAATCTCAGAACCTGTGAGGAAAAATTTCACTGTACAAATAACAAGACTAATCAGAAGTTAGATAGATCGTAGTTAACAGACAGCCAAGATACAACCCAGGTCTCTTGGCTCCAAGGCCTCATTCTAAACTACTATGCATGCTGCCTGTGATAGAATGTGCATCGTTATTTTTAGCAGCTACTCTCATCACATTATTTCCTTGCTTCTAATTCCACAGGAACTCCTCCCTATTATATTTGTATATAACCTAAATATCTTGGCATCATGACTTTGTATTAGCTTCTCTCTCAAAGTCACTTAATGATAATTGTCATTATCAGAGTTAGTCTATCTAACAGTCAATGATACCCCTTTCTTTGCTAGGATATGCTAAACCATGACTTCTTCTGCCTCAGTACTCTGTCAGAAATCCCTCACGTCTTCCAAGGCTCACTTTCTGCTGGGTATTCCTTTCAGTCCTTGGCTTCTGTGGAATGAACCCATAGCATCATAAAGGGGAAAGAACCTGAGCCTGGTCTGGTCAAAGGCTCGAATCCCAGCTCTACCACTTAGTACCTGTGTGATCATGTGCAACTTCCTTAACTTCTCTAAGTCTGTTTCTTTCATGTATAAAATGGGTATAATAGTACCTGCTATATATTACCTGTTAGGATTAAATGAAAAGATACAGACATCTTAATCATAAATGAAATGAAAGCACAACCTGTGGCACGTGGTAAGCCTTTAATTACTGCTAAAGGTTCTATTTAATTCTAAGTTCTAAACTAAATTCTAAGTTCTCTCTGTCATAGCTTATCATCCTGCAAAGGATTCCTTCCTCTGTTTTTAAGCCCAATCACCCGCCCACCATCAGAGCCATATTTCTAACTGCTTGCTGAATTTCTTTCTGTAAAAATTAAAATGTCCAAACTTGCAAGTCCTATCCCTTCCCATACCACAATCAACATTTTGTCTTAAAAACCGTATGTTTGATACTAAAGCTTGAGCTCTTAACATCATCATCGACTTTCTACTCTGCATTCCAATCAGGTACATTGTGTGCTATATCGAATCTACCAAAACCATATCCTTGTCCTGTTCCCACCGCTGCCACTTAAGTTCTAATCCTTATTACCTAAAATGACCTCTAAAGTCGCCCTCCCCTCTGTTCTCCAAGTGGACTCTATGCTTTCTCCAAGAAGAGTCTATGCTTTTCTGACTTCATGCCTCTTTGCTGTAATCATTCTATTCATTACAACACCCCTGTCCTCACGCCACTACAGTCCTAACTCACAACCAATTCCCCAGAGGTCCTTCTCAAATACCTTCTCTTCCATGACGCCTTTCCTTTGTTTTACATATACGAGTGTCTACAAGTCTGGGGCAGTGCCTTGATTATAAGGCCCTTAGTGTTATATATGATATTCACTCATCTGTCCTCAGTCCTGTGAACATATATGAAATATTTATTTACTATTGTTAAGACAGTAAGTCCCCCCTTCTCTGAGGTTTCACTTTCAGTGGTTTTAGTTACACATGGTCAACCATGGTCTGAAAATATTAAATGGAAAATTTTAGAAATAAACAATTCATACACTTTTAAACTGCACACCATCTGAGTAGTGTGATGAATCTCACACCGTCCCGCTCCCTCCCACCCAGGACGGGAGTCATCTCTGTCTACTGTATCCACACTGTACACGCTACCTGCCTGTTAGTCACTTAGCCGCCGTCTCAGTTAACAGATCAACTGTGCAGTATCACAGTGCTTGTGTTCAAGTAACCCTTATAGAACCCTAATGCTGTGTCACAGGGCCTACGTCATTCACCTCACTTCATCCCATCATGTAGACACTGTATCATCTCACATCATCACAAGGGTGAGTACGGTACAATAAGACAGTTTGAGGAAAAGAGGCCACATTTTATTATAGTATATTATTATAATTGTTCTATTTTATTAATTATTATTAATCTCTTACTGTGCTTAATTTACAAATCAAACTTCATCATCGCTATATATGTAGAGAAAAAAAATGGTATATATAGGGTTCAATATGATCTGTGGTTTCAGGCACTTGCTGTGGATCTTGGAATGTAACCCCCATGAATAAGTGGGGACTACTGTATTATTTTACACTTAGCTTGTAGGTGAGTTGAGATTATAAACATATGATAGCACAGTTTACCTTACTTATTCTCAAGCAGTCTAATACATACTCCTTTATGAAGGTGGTAAGCATTTAGTACAATACCACAAAGATGTTCAATAGCATCTGATGGCTATGGAGGCACATGAAGAAAAATACAAATCTGAAAGACCCTACATGCCAAATTTCATTCAGAATAAAACTGACACATTAAAAAACAAAACAAAACTTAGAATAAATTAACCATTATTGATTCTTAAAAGTTTTAGGTTGAGTAGATTTAAAATAAAAATCTTGCTCATTTGATGAAATTACACCCAAAATTAAGATATGTTTCTCACGAAGGTAACAACAAATGTTATCTAATAGTAGGAAGGAAAAAAAAAAACGTAAGAAGAATTGAGGAAACCATTACTTTTAAACTCTTGTAAAATTATGCAAAAATTGCCAGTGATTCCTTTCTTAATTAAATAAATGACTGTGTCTTCCTAGGAATAACATTGAAAATATGTTCTTAAACTTGAGGCCATGTTAAATTTTTTGAGTTATCCTTAAATTTCTCCCCCAAAAGGTATTCCCAATAGAAAGAAATTAATACTGCAGAAAAGAATGTTAATTTTACAAATGAAAGCAAAAGAAATTATCCAATTTCTTCTAGGGAAGAGGATAGTTGGCAATTAAAAAAAAAGGACCTAGAAGTTTCAGTTTTTAATTAAAAAAAAAAAAGTAAGATCTTATATATAACACATAAAAGGCCCATAAAGAAATAGCCCCAATCTCAAAAATAACACTGGAGATTCAACATCTGAACATAACAGGTACTGCCAAATATGCAAACTTGTAAAGAATCAAGGGGAAAAGACATAAAAATAATCCATCATCAGCTATAAACTACATACCTGTTTAAGTCTGGCAAGTTCTTTCAAAGCTCGTCCCCATTGCTGCTTGTAATGCAGTTTAGACTTAGTTGCAGATTCCAACTTTCTTTCAAGTTCAACCTAACAGTGATTAAAATCATATCAAGTGAAACACTATACCACTGTGTACAATCACTGAAAGATAATATATACAGAGAGTCTGGCTTAAGAAAAGAGTTTATATAGTGTAACATACGACATCATCTAAAACTGTTATATAATTTACTATAAATATTATGGCACATGAACATTTTCTTGTTTAAAATATAGTCGTATTTTTACTGCCTAACAGCCTATACTGAAAGGAACTGAATTAGTCTTAAACCTCCAGACAGTTACTATAAATGTATTTAAAACATGTATATTACATAAAGATCACAGAATGAAAACTACATTCTTTTTCTACAAAAAGAAGTTCTAACTGTTAGCATTCCAATTTAGCTGGCACTCTAAATCTTAGAGACCAAATTATTCTTTTTGGAGGCCGTTCATTATGTGGAATTTTGTCTTATAAAAGAATCGACTACAGCTTTTTTCGTTATAGCTATATTTTGGCAAAAACCACAGAATGCTGAAAACAGTGCAACGTTTAATCAGAAAGCAGTTTACTAAGAAGAGTACAAAGTCAAAAATATTTTAAGAATGTTAAAATAAACCCAAGTGAAAGAAAAATAATGCTCCTAATAACACTCATCTTTTATTTTCTATTTTTCCTAAAATATATAAAGAAAAACATGAAAGTGATTCAATTAAAAAAATAAGGTTATTTATACTTGCAGCAGGCAATCTGTTGTGCATGAACCGAAGCCAACTTGGCTATGTTCTGGAATGTCCTCTCAATGTTTCAACCCCAGCACCAAACAAATTCATGCAGCCAACAGACAGTTTTACTATTTAAGTGATAATATAATAATGTGCCCGAATTACAATAAAATACTGTTACTCTACTCTGGTCTAACTTTTTATATCAAGTGAACTTTTCCCATACATACAATTCCTAATGTTCTGCAGGGAAATAAAACTGAAGACACTATCCAAAAATTCAAACTTCAGAAAACTCATATGAAAATAAAATGAAAGGAAAAACAGATTGCCAAATTCCCTTCGCAAAAGACCAGAACATTCTCTGCAGTAATATATGACTTCATGGAGTCAAGGTCTTTTCTGCTTTACAGATCCCTAGTGCTTTAGCTGTAAAACGCCAATACATTTAAATGACTCAAACGTTTTAAATTGAACGATACTCTGAGATTATCAAAGATGATCTCTTCTAGTTACGCCCCATAGATTTATACATATTACATGGTAATTTAACAATAGGACATATGACAGAGGAATTGGAAAAATCTTTTTGTAGCTGTGAGACAAAAGAGTAGCATTCAATTATAAAAGTGATGAAGAATCTTAGAAAAAGTCTAGCATCCTGGATGGGCCCAAAGATGAGTGCTAGGACAGGCATGAGCCTGGAGGGATGCTTATATCCAGTGGACTGACTCCATCAGAAAAAAGCTGTCTGGGTAGGTTATATTGGCTTGGCCACAATTATCAAAATAATTCGCATTTGCACAGTTATTCACACTAATTTAAAACACATGTATAGTTAATAAATATAATTTCTTTATTCTTAATAAAAAAACTGTAGCTAAGCAAATCTGAGACAAAAACCTTGTTTTTCTAATTTATTCCTATTACCAAATCAATGATTTCTAACTTTTTTTTTAAGGATACAAGATGCCTCTGTGATTCTAAAGAAATATAGGGACCCAATTCCCAGAAAAATGCACACAACCAAAGGCTGAATTAAGAGCCCTTATTGTGAGTAGATTTGAGACCTGGGGAAGCCTTTGCACTTATATGTCATATAGATTTCTCCATTGAAATATTTTTCATTTTTATTCTTTTATATTCCTACTGCCATTTCCTTAGCTCAGGTCTTCTCATCTTCTCTCATCTCCTTGGCCTCAGATCTATTTTATCTACAACCCTGCAGACCACTATTAGATCAATGTATTCTCTACTAAAAAAATCTACAGTCTACTTCTTGCCTACAATATTGATAAGCCTAAACTCTCCTGCCCAGTTTCAAGGCACTCTACAATATAATTTCCATCCTACTTGCACAACCTATTTTCTTGCTATTCCTCAACAGGAAACCCTCTACTCCAACTACTAGCTTGGTGTCCCCTACGCACCCCTCTCCTCGCCCAAGTTACTGCCTGAGCCTTTCAATTCTTTCTTTTCTTCTCTGCTTACTTAAAACTTCAGGCTCAGCTCAAATTCTGCCTTGACCTGGAGCTATCTTAAAACTACTATATTCTGAATACCAAACTGATTTCTCTTTTCTGAACTACAAAGAGTGTCTATCACATTCCCTGGTATTTGATTATACGTGGTCATTTAAGGCTCTCTGAGCCATCTCCCCAATTAAATTATAAACTCTTTACCAGTGAGATCCCAAAAGGATAATGTACTATTTCTCTTACTCTTTTTTCCCTCTCATTTTCCCCTTTGCCCTAAGGAGTGAACACATAGTAGATACCAAATATTCTTACATACATAAATTTTAGTTTCTGTGTTCAACCTCTGTATGCCCTACAAAATTATAATGCTTTCCTTATTTTTTAAAAGTCCCAATTATTTTTAAGAACTCTGACATTTCCTAGCTAAAAGCAAATCACAAACTATTAGCCACTCGTTACATAATAAAGGGAATCAAGAATTATATTCGGTAAAACTGTATCTTAATGTTAACTTGTTTTCAGACCATTTCAGTGAACATGGGAAAATTTGTGTTATATTGAAGAGAATGGGTAACCACAAAAGAAAAAAAGCTCTCAATCAGACATAACCAGAAATTACAGACTTAGATACTTTTTCACTTATGTCTTCCTTTTTATGCTTGTATGTCTTTGTTACTACTTAAGAAATAAGATTCTGCCCTCTTCTGGCTCCAAAAAAATTTACAAAGAATTTTCAAAGGAGCCAAGAAGCCTTGTTTTTACTAGACACTTAAACATGCTGAATGAATTCATTAGATTTGATTCAGAGGCAGTCAATTATGCATTTTTTTCCCCTCTCTGAAATTCATGGTATTGTTTATACTTTTAATGTTTAGTGATTTTTAACCTTTTGGAAAAAGTGTAGTTGGAAGAAAGAATTTTAAAAATCACTTAAAATTTAATTTCTATGGTGGCTATTATCTAGTCTATATTCACAAAAGAATAATAAGATAATGTTTCTGTTCCAATTTTGAGATATTTGGTTTCTGAATTTCCCCAAGGTAAAATGGAATACTCTTTGGTACTTAAAATTTAACAGAGCTTGTGAGAATCAATGAGATACTGTCCGAGTACTTCAGAGCCCGCTGGTAGGTACCACAGAATTCATATTTATAAACAGAAATACTTTAATACTTGGTTTTTCAAAAGAGGGGTGGGAAATGTCTAGCTGGATTCAAGTTCATTGTTAGAGAAATGAGAAGGCCAAAAATGGAGAAGTGAAGAGTTTGTCTAGATATGTAAGAAGCAGAATAAACAAGCTTTTGCCATTAAATAGATGTTGGGTAAAAGAGAAACCAAAGACAGTATGACAATTGACAGGCTGCAGAAAATTTAAGGAGTTCAGAAACACTAGAAGAAAACCAGTGAATTAACACCCTCCTCAAAAGATTTTTGGTTTTTTACCCTACTCTTATTCTTACCTCTATATATATTCACACTTTTTGCCTCGTAGTGTTTCTTCTTTCAAAGACTAACTCTTCTATGCTCAACCATCCCCTCTTCTCTTAAAGCATCAGTTTCTCCTTGCTACAAATTTTTATCCACAATCTAAAAATATCCTCATATTTTCCTACCTCACAATAAGCTTTTCTCAACAGTGTTAGGCCCCCGGGCTACTTCTTTTCTTTTCAACGCCAAACTTTCTATTACCCTCTGCGATTTGGCTTCTTAAAAGCCAGTGACTTAACTGCCAAGCACCTGGCCTTTCCCTAACCATTCCTGACTTTCCCTTCATGAGAGATTACTTTTACTTCCTCCTTCTTTTCTTTTGGGCACCGCACTAGACTTTTTTTATTACTTTTCTAAATCTTTCTAGCCTCCTTCGCTGACTCTTGCTTTTTTGTCTATGAAGCTGGACTTTCCCCCTAAGTTTTATTTTCACTTGTCCTTCCTAAACAATTTCAAGGCTATTAACTTTATTCAAATGACTCCCAAATCTGTATGTCTAGCGTTTTTCTCTCTTCCTACTCTATAGTTTCTCATTTTTAACCATATTTAGTGAACTTCTCCACTTAGATTATTCTGCTAACATATCAAGTGTAATATGTCTAAAACCAGAATTCTCTACAACTTCCACCTTCCCAAAAAGTTCATTAAAATTCTTCATTTCTATTAACATTCATTAAGCCAATCTTATAAACTTGAGAGTAATCTCTGACTCTTCTTACCAGATAAAATACGAACTCTTTAACTTAGCACCTAAGGTCTTCCCACACATAGCCGAAAATTACTTTTACTTCCTGCATTCTCTTATCAGGCCTATTTTTATTTTGAAACTATTTTTATACTCATTAAACTCTAGGTTCTAGTTAAGCTATTATCCAAATATGCAACAGACTTTTTAACCTCTGCACAACTGTACAACCTCTTCCTGGAATACCCTCACCCACATATTTACACCTATTTAAAATTTCACCTACCCTTTCGGTTCCATAGCCAATTTTACTTCTTTGTTATACTTAATGTGTTGATTGCAGTAGAAATGACTTTGTTTTCCCTTTGCAATCATACCATTTAGTAAGAGAAAGTTAGATACTGTTATCATTTGCCTTTCACTGTAATAATTTTCTTCAGTTCATTGTCTCCTTTTGTAACTTATTACTTGATTCTATCCTGAACATTTTTAATCATGCATAATAGCATTTAGCACAGTGTCATAAATAATACCCATCTTTGCTGAATAATGAAAAACCAGTTGTATCCATCAGCATCCTGCTAGGAAACCAGAAATCACTCTATGTTTTTCAAACAGGTAATTTAATATAGACAATTGGTTATAGAGATCATGAAAGAGCTGAAATGCCAAAGAGGATACAGTGAGATAACCTAGTGATTAGCAACAGCAGGAAGCCCCTACCTCTCCTGGGTAGGCGGGACTGCAAAAGGAAGTACCAAGAAGTAGTAGCTTCTGCTTTCAGGAATCCAGAAACTTGGGGCTGTCCAGTGAGCCAGAAACACAGTGGGAACTGCCCACAGGAAGCTAGAGAGAAGGGATGTCTCGTGGGAGATACAACGTAATAAACTGCAACTACCGCCCGAGAAAATAACGGAAGCAGAGAGAGAGAGAAGACAAGAACTACCCTAGCATCTTCCCAACTCCAGTTGACCAACTTTCCAGCCACCCCCTAGTGGCTGAATCTACAGAAGCGATAGGGCAAGGAAGACTGCTAGACAAAGCTGAATGGGAAAAGACAGGCAATGGCTGGCAATTAAATCCCTAAACGTCTAAAGGTTATTTTCCTGTATATGCTATCTTTTTAATAATGCCTAAAATTATCAAACTAAAAAATGTAAGAGCTTAGGTTGTCTTTTGGACATTACACATTTTTTAATGCCTAAAACCTGAACATTCTTTCTGTTTGTAAGGAATTCCATTATAAATGAGAGGCAGGACCTGGTTTCCAGCCAGAGAAAATAAAATAGGATGGATATCCTTTCTTCCAAGCTAAGAGTAGAGTACAGGTCTGTGATTTAAATGAAAGCTCCTGTCTGAGGCACTGAATCTAAAGGGTAGTAAGACGCAGAGAGAGTATTCACAATACAGATGCAACTACTGCAAAACTGAGAGTTCAACAGTATGACACGAGAATCAGGTTACAGAACCCAGTGACGGGACAGCAATGGCACCAACAGTGGTATCCTGAGTAGACAGTTTTGGGGCGATGCCTTGCTTACCCCAGTTCCTGTCCATATTTTGAAACTGGCTCTACAGCTTTCCTGACAATTTTGTGAATTCCTTTATTCCTAGAGTTAGTTCTGTTTGCAACCAAGGACTCTACTTAGTATAAGCTACTAACACTTGTCATGTGCCTCGAATTCTCTGATGTGTTATTTGACATCAGAATACCCCGGTGAAACGTTACATTGCATATGCAAGTGTAATTTATAGATTTTATAAATTATCATGAGGACTAGTTAAGCTGCCATAAATTGACATGGGTACCTTTTCCAAGGTGAGAAGATTTATTTCTGACTGTAGACGGATTTCTGGTTTGTTGCTTTGCTGATCCTTGAACTGATGAAACTCTTTTTCCAAAATCTTATACTTATTTTCAGCATCTTTAAGCTGTATTAAAAAAAAAAAGTATTATAGCCATTTTAAAACAATACTATGTAAAGTTTAATATTACAGAATTCAATTCAAGTGTCATTTTTTTTCTTATTCTAAAGCATGCTCATAGTAGAAAACTTAGAAACAAAGTATAAGAAAAATTAAGATGGTTAGTAACCCTAAAAATTTAGTAAATCAACTGATTGACAATATACAAACACTTTTTAAGAGTATGAAATTTCTTATAAAAGCAGTATCATAAGAATGTTTTTCTTAGAGTTTAGATGGCAAATGAAAAAGTCACTTTATAAAAATACTGATACTTTATACTAAGATGTCACATGTAAGACTGAGCATTACGGATATACCAGATTATCAGCAATGAAAATTAAGTTTAATATTACTGCAGTATTTATTACTTATAATTGGATACTGTATGCATTTCATAATTCAAATGCAATTACAACTTAAGGTAATTTAAAGACTATTTGGCTCAAACCCTTCATATTTATAGGTAAGAAAATTGAGGGTCAAAAGCTAAATAATTGAAGCAGTGCCAAAGAGCTGGTGAGCAGCAGAGGCATGAACAGAATCCAGGTCTTTTCATCCCTAGAATAACGCTCTCATGTAAAGCAGGCAACACTTCCTTAAATGAAAAAGAGAGAACTGCTTTGACTACACACTCTATAATTTCCCTTAGAATAGTTTCAAAATTACAAAAAAAAAAAAGAGGATATAGATGTTCATTTTAAATCTGGGATTTTTTCTTTTAATCAAATGCAAACAAGCACTGTTACAGATGCTTTCCAAAAACATAAACCAATATAACGATCCATTATTAGATAAACCAATTATCTCTTTACTAAGAAGAATTAAATTTGAAATACTGAGAAAATTTGTGGCAAAAATGGAACTTAAATTATCAATAATAAATTCTTGTTTTATTCCAATAAATACAAATAATTCTAATTAGGATTTATCTACCATCTTTAGGTAATAGGTATTCCAGAACTAAATATTCCATATAACAGAAGTTTACTTCTTTGATTATCCAAACCTTTATTTTTAAGGTTGAACAGGAACCTTTCTACACTCGCTTACTTTTCTATTTTAAACACAACCTAGTAAACTTAATATTTGGTGCTTCCCCCCCACCCCCGTTTAGGGACATTATCATAAACCATTATTGTGGTTACAATCAGGTCATAAAGCAGTAAACTATTAGGCATCCTGGGCTCATTTTCCTTTGCTACATTTACATAAACTACACGGATTTTTTTTTTTTGAGTTATGGTAACTGCTTTTATATATTTGAATCTTCATCAGCTTTTGGTGACAGTATGTGTTTGTCCCTTCTACCTGTCTAGTTAGCATTATACATACAGTACATGTAGCCTGGTTCAGAGTAAGGAACTAAAAAGTTTGTTTCCTTACATGTGAAATGTTTATAGTCATGAGTCATGGGCTTAGCAATTTGGGCATCTAGGAAACTTCTCTCTCCCCACAGTTTTTGTCCTATCCTTAAATTATGCTTTAGGAGCGCCCTGGGTCACTTTTCTAAAATACCAGTTTTTCCCACAAAGATGTAAGCTACTTATACCAGTCTGGGGTAGGGTAGAGACCTGGGCTTTTTCAAGAACTCCCCTGGCGATTCTAAATGTTAGGAGCCTTGGCTCTAGATGGCTGAATCTTCCTGGTAAGTGGAAGAAGAGAAGCGTTACTGGTGAATCCCATCACAATTGCCCACTTTTACAACTTTATCTTTCATATTTTAAATGAGATCTCCATAACAATGAAATACATATTTATAATGTACTTATAAATACATTATAAATACATAATTACATTATATAACCACCTAAATAATGTGACCCTTAACCCTGCCAGACCGCTGTACTGATTTTTCGGTAATTTCTAATCATATCTTATCTAATCATGTCTGTGTTGTGTGCATGGAAAAGCACTCCAGGTACAACAAGCAAAATCCTGGAGTGCCTTATAAAGACAATCCATGCAAGAAAGTGAAGAGCAACATCTGGTGCTCACTTTGCAAGAAGTACCTCTGTGTGAAACAAGGCTCATCCTGCTGGGTGGACTGGCACACAAAGGTGGAATATTGGCACTAGATGAAAGATAGACCTATTTTCTACAATGTCTCCAAGTTCCATCGTATTCTAACCACTTGTTTGCATGTAACGAACATTTTTCTATATCATGTTGGTTTTTTCTCTTTAATGCTCAGGAGCCCAGGTACAGGGGACAGTTAGGTTCAGGGCCTCAGGTCTGGTAGGGTTAACTGACTCTGAACTGCTGTGGAAACTATTCTTCATGCCAGAATTTACTGAAGACTTTAGAGGCATTCATCATATATTATCTCATCTATTATGCATTTTTCCATGAAAGATAAGCTTAATTTTTAACAGCTTTATCCTTTTTTTCCCCCCCAGAAAATGTTTATTAAGCCCCAATTATATGATGAACACTGGCTGGGCTCTAGGCATACAGATATAAACCAAAAAAATTTTATGGAGCTAATGCCCTGATTCTGGTCAAATTATCACACTAATGAAAATAAAAGAAAACTGCCAAAACATATCAAAGAAAACAAAAAGGAGAATAATATGCTATGAAAATATACAACAAAAACTTGACCTAGACTTGGGAAGCAGGGGTCAGAGGAGACTTTCCTGGGTAAGTGATGCTTCGGCCGAACACTGAAGGATGGGCAAGTTCACTAGGCAGGCCCAGAAAAAGTGGCATCCACAAAGATCCCACGGGCGAGGCGAGCACGGCCAGCTCGAGAGCCTTAAGGAGGACCAGTGTGGCTGCGAGTATATGGCAAACGTGAAAGAGCAGGAGATGAGGTGAGACAGGTAGGCTGGGTCCAAACGAGCCAGAGGCCTGCCGGGCAAGGCAAGGATTCTGATCTTTACCCCATGAGCAACGAGACAACATTGAAAGGTTTCAGAGGAGGGCATCGTGATCCCCAAAGGTCAAAAATATCACTCTGGCTGCCACGGGAAGAACAGAAATAAAGAACACTCACAGGAAGCTCAGGTATGGATAAGAGGATCACGTTGGGTTTGAAACGCCTTTAAGACATCCAAGTAGAGATGTCAAAAAGGCAGTTAGATGGGTCTAGAGTGCAAAGGAAAGGCCTGGGATATAAATGTGAGAGTCCCAGAGGTAGATGGTCTCTGAAGCCATGGGCATTCTTAAGATTGTTTAGTACAAAGTAAGTTTTGAATTTGGAGGAAGTCTAACCATTACCGGCTTAAGGAAAATAAGCCTAAGGAGCCTGAGGGGTGGCTGGAAGAGCAGAGGAAAAGAAACAGCAGTGTTACAGAAGCCGAAGGAAGAGAATATACAAAAACAAAAAACAAGGGCAATAGTGTTAGTGCTTTCTGTAAGGTTGCGTAAGCCGAGAAATGAAAAAAGCCCGCTGAACACGGTGACTGAGGTACTGTGGTTTCTTTGGCAACTGGCTGGCTAGAGCAATGGGGATGGAAAGCAAAGTGGGGTGGGCTGAGAGGTGAGTGTGAGGCGAGGAAATGGAGGAGCACAGACAAAATGCTACGGGGGAATTAGGTTCTTAACCGAATTCAGTCCAGTGATACATGAAGTATATCAATGTTTGTTAAAAGGAAATTTATCAGAAAAACATTTTACATTTAAAGTTACCTGAAACATAACACAATCTCATGCAAATAATTATAAGGGAAGGAAAATTATTCCAATATAGTCCTTAGCTTTGACTTAGGAAAAGAAGATCCAACTTAAAGTATATTTGAATCTCAGTGCAATAAATGTGAATAATTGTCCAAAACTGTGAATTTTTATAACCTTTTGGTGAACTGTATCTGTTATTTCTAGAATCAAACAAAGTGTAAGGAGATGACAGGTAGTTCATCCGACCTGCTGCTGAAGTCGGTGTTTCTCCTCTTCTAGCTGCTTGATCTTTAGCCTTTCCAGTTCTACTTGGTGAACACCATCTTCCTTGGCCCTACGGATACAGTCCTGAAGTTCTTGCAGGTTCCGTTCACGTTCTGATTTCAGTTCCTTTCTTTCTCTTTGAAGCTTAAAACAAGTGCATCTTTAAGAGATGGCCTATTACAAGCTGCATTATACTGTTCAATATTCTCTTATTCTTACATATAGTCAAATGTTCAGAATACTTACAAATTTATTTTCATACTCTTTTCAGTTATTAGAGGACAGTTAATCTTTAAGTATATTGAAATTATAAATTTTCAATTATTTAATTCTAAAGTACAAAGTATATATAAAAATCCATATATGACTTGTATAAATTCAATTGAAAATGCCCTAATAACTTAAATTCCTACTTGAATAAAACCCATTTTATTACATAAGCAAATATGCTCAAGTTTCTTTTTTTCTTTTAGAAACTTCTTACTTTCTGCCTAATCATATAGAAGATAAAAAAGCCTTAGTATTAGGAACAAATATACATCATATTTAAATTTAAACATCTGAATCAATTTAGAAATCCCAGAAAGTATATAAAGATAAGGTTAGGGTAATATGCTGAGATAATTTTAAGAAACACATTTGGGTATGGAAGGGCCATATAAATTTAATGTGGAAGAAATTCTAATTATTTTGAAATGAACTTTACAGTAATTTAATAAAGTATGTAGGGTAAAATTTAGTAAGGATCTAACAAAAATGCTAACTAGGCCTAATACTAATATTAATTTTCATCCATCCTTGGACTCTAATGTTTAAAGGGCAAGAAAGATATTCCCTTCTTACTGACATCAAAACCAGGATTCTAGACCCCCACGCCCGCATTACATTTTCTTTTTTCTCTAGGTAGTGCAACTATCCGTTCCTTTCACATAATGGAAAAGTTACCCAAATAGCTCCGCCATTGCAGATGTCAGCCACAGCTAGTGGAACAATAGTTAACCATGTCAAACAAATACTTTTCTCCCTGTCCCTCATGTTCTATTATAACATATAAAACATGCTTTACTCAGTTGAACATCAGTTTTCTCCATAATGTGTGAAAGAATGTCTATGAAATATATTTTATATAAAGAAAAAGGAAGTAAATGGTATAAACCTAATTATGGATTCTGTGAAATAAAGGTATCTGACAGGCGAATACAGTACCTCTGCTTCTGTAATGACAAGCTGTTGCTCTCGTTTCTCTAAATCAATTAGGGTTTTTTGAAGTTTTCCTTCTAAAATAGTATATTCAGCCACCTAAAATATAATAAAAGTTACCTTATCTTTTCTTCAAATTCCAAATACAATTTCAAAAATGCATACACAACACATTATCATCAATAGTTTTTCTTTCCTCCTTCAATATCGATGCAAGTCAATACCTTTTTCTGTACTAGTGATTCTCTCTCTCGATCCCTTTTCTTCCATTCCTCTGCAAGAGCTTGCATATGAGCCAGTTCTTTCTGCTTTAGCTACAATAGGAAGAAAAATAAAGTCAGGGAAAAACCCAAAATATTTCAAATAAACAAATCAGTTGTTTTCATTTAAAAAAAATTAAGTGATCACTGATATGTTTCTTTCAGGTGTTCTATTTTATTTTTATAAAAAAAAGATGCCCGAGACAAGTAATACCCATATGACTATAATTCAAGACAGTATATGACGCTGTTTTGTTTTCTAGCTCTCTTGTTTAGGTGCTGAGGATTCCAGTTTCAGGAGGGTATGCTAAATGAGGACCTGAAATTAAAAACAAAAACAAAAACAAAACTCAAGTTCTTAACCTCTGAACTCTAATCTTCAGTCCTAGTTTTACCTAAGACTCATGGACAAAGTTTGGGGGAATCCTTCTGAGTGGCTTCTGCCAATCTTTTGCAGTTCAAATATTTTTTGTCATTTTTAAATTTTTTTTTATTTTAGGAGTGAGGAATTCTTGATATTCAAAGGGACTAAATAAGGTACCCATGGAATATGGAGAGAAAAGACTACTATGAAGAAGGAAAAATATACCAAGTAGACAAAAACAGAGTTTTAAAGTAACAAAAAGTAACCTGATTTTCAAAAATGTCTTCCTGCATCTCTTTCCACATTTCTAGCTCAACTGCTGCTTTGTATTCTAAGGCTTCACGAGATTCTGGCTGGATTTCTGAAGAACAAGGTGCTGGAGGAAGAGAAGATGGCTTCTGTTGTACAGCAGATAAACCCTACCATATGAATAAAAAGGCATATTGAAACAAATACTCTCACACATTAGAGCCATTTTAAAGAGTAATTTGATGATAGTCACTGCTATTTACCTGAGATGAATCAGAGACAAAAATCTCACGCATTTTTACTAGTCCGTAATCTTCTAGAGTTATTGTGTAAGAAAGATCTATTATCCTATTATTTGACCTACAAATGAAATCAGATATACATTAAAATTCATGGAAATACTTTTATTTTTCTTCTTATGTCCTCAAAGCTATAGCACTGAGTAGGCAACATTACTTGCATTTGACACTTGCAGCTGAAACTGTAGCAGCTTCTATAGGCCTCTAGACCTACATGATTTGATTTGATTACAAATACCCTATTAAGTGCATACCTGCGTTTACTATAAAAGGAGCTATAACGGCTGTAGATTACTTGGAGAAATTGAAAGCATAAAGGAGAAATTTTAAATCTCACTGCCCATAGGTTATTACTGCTAAAATTTAGTTTATTTTCTTCCTCTCTTTGTTTTATGTGTATGTAGATACGCATGTATTCATGCATGTTAAGATCATAAAGTTTTGTCCTTTTTTCCTATTTACATCGAACATTTTCTCACGTCATAAACATTAATTTAAAATGTAACTTTTTTATGCCTGTATATTTTTACATATACAGGCATATATATGTAGTATATTTGTACTAAAGAATTTATATAGTAAAATAAAAAAGTAACAATTCCCCTATTCTTGAATATATATAGGTTAGTCTGAATTCTGTTTTTACTTTTGCTGGGATGAACACACTTGTACATAAATCTTTTACTGGATATAAGCATTGCCTCAGGATAATTTCTAGATGTAGAATAACTAGTATGTTATTTTTATCATAATGAGTACCTCTCTGTAATATAGACCTGCATGTAGCATTTATCATTAAATAAATAAAAACAATCGCTCAAGAGTTTGAGCTCTGAGCAACAGTGGTTCGATTCCCGGCCCAAGCTGAGCAGCCACTGAGCTGCCAACAGGTGGCAGGATGGCTCAGCTTAAAACAAAACAAAACAAAACAAAAAACAAACAAACAAACAAACAAAATAAATAAATAAATAAATAAAAACAAGACAAAATGTCAAAGGAAAAGAAAATCTTGGCAATAAAAATCCATGGCTTTACCTAAATTAAATAACATTTCATAAACCCTTGGTCAAACCCAACTTTAATGAATTGATCCCACACAATTAGAACTCATAATTAACAACTTTCACATTTTCTTCTAATCGCACAGATTTTAGAAGAAATGAATAAAGCACAATGAAGCACGACCACATCTGAAGTTTTCACTTAGGTACATCTCTTAAGACTTCTCTGTCTTCAGAGCAGGGCAAAGTTAACATTCCTAACAAACAGTATTAAAATAACTTTAACAAGTAATGATTTGATTTTCATTATATTCTAGTTATGATGACAGAAAAGAATACTAATTTTTAAGAGAGATTTTCAATAATAGGAGTTGAAACAAAAAGAATTTTCAGTTAACCAGAATATTTGATTCTCTAAAACGCCTGTTCCCAGATCTTCCAAGTGAATACAAGTTTTCCTAAACCCTTCCCTCTCTAGAAGATGGGAACGAGTAAGGGAGATAATTCAATAAAGCTTTTAGATCTCGGCCTTTTACTGAGTCTGATTTCCTTCTTTCTTACTATGCTTTAAAAATACAGGCATGTCATAATGTCAAACTGAATTTAAATTTCTATTGTAAATTTAAAAAGATCATTCAACAAATATATTTTGTCTGAAATATGTGAACTCCAGCTTTTCACTGTGGCAATCATTTTTAAACGTGCCAAGCATGTCTAACATTCTCAGACTTTTGATATGAGGCAAAAATAGATACCTTTTTATATTAAAATATTTTTAGAATACGTTAAAATATTTTTCAAGTAGAAAAAGTCATTCTCAATGCAAAATAATGTATAAATAGTAAATAAAAAGATCCTGAATTTAAAATTGTCAGGCTAAAGAGAGGGAAGGGAAATACACAACAGTCTGAGTAAACAGTATTATAGTAGCACGGATTCTTCACTTTGGGAGGGTATAATGGGTACAAGAAATCTAAAGAGCAAACTGGCATATAGCCCTCACAGGTCAAAGAAGAGATCAGAAAAATGATAAGAAAAGTTGTAGTGAGCTAATCAGAATAAAAAGCAAGCTGAGACTGATTTTGCAAAATGCATTACCCTTGTGCTGCTATAATGGGCACGCTTTCACTGTACGTCTGACGCCAACACTGTTCACCATTAGAACCTAAAAAGCGAGTTTTTTCTGAAGACAAGATGTTAGAAAGCTGGATTCTGGCGATTCCCAGGAGTAAATCTTTACTCATTTTATCCTTGTGCCATAATTCAATCAGCAATGGAATCCTGAGGAAGAGAGAAATGGGTGTTCATACCTCTCAGCTCTGAACTCTATCTCTTCTGGATGAAAATCTTTGAATTCCTCTAATGGTCAAAGTTGTTTTTGTTACCTGGAATGTAAAAGCTTAACACCACAGGAAACAAACAGGAAATTCTATTCCATTTTCTACATTTCTTTCTATTCAATAAAGGAAACAATTCAAACACTATTATTCCCACAAATAGTTACTCTTCATTCTTCCTTTTAAAATAACATACAGGTTGGAATTGTGGTACTTAGAAAGCAAAATGACATTTCACAGATCTCATTTTTCTTCGCAAATCCATTTCGGATAGCTGGATTAACACCTCCATTTCATATAGATGAAAAAATAGAAAAAAATCATACACTACAGTCATTCAGTGACTCAAAAGTAAAAAACTAAATAGTTCATATTTATCTTCACATATTATATCAGAAAAAGGCAAGACTACTTTTCGGTTCCTTCATTACTCATAGATTGTTTTAACAAAATTCTAATATCTAAACTCAGGCAAATAAGATGAAAATCTGAAAAGAACCTTCATAACCACATAAAACTTGGTTATATGGTTGAAGCACAAATGTCACAGACATTACTAGCATATTTGTTTCTAAAGCTTTTCCTCTTATTTGTAAGACACAAACTGTGAAGAGTTGACTTGAGAAAGTAGTATCATACACACAGTGTATACATTACCTTAAGAAAGTATCTTGCAGCTGATAAGGCATAGTTGCAAAATCAAAAGCACAGTAGGATTGGGGAAGAAAAACTTCCATGTTTTTCCGAACTTCTACAGGGGGATTTGTCATAATAGGAGCTGCGCTTCCAAAGAATGGATATGAGTACCTAGAATTCCAGAAAAAAAACATCTTAGAGTTTACAGATAAAATTTATAGCCTGTTAAAAAAAGTATAATATGAATATTATGAGCAAACAGAATTTTTTAAACAGAGAAATGATAGAAATACATTATAGGTTTTACTCTTATCACTAACTTTAAAATTATATTCAGTGTTGATATAAAATTATAGAAATTATAGAGAATGTGCATTATGTGCATAGTACTAGTTCCCAAGTAGCTTTACAGGTAATATTTCAATGATTCCCTGGAAAAAAAGAGAATTCTGGTATTTTGAAGGCAATGACACCAAATAAGGAAGGGACAGTCATTTTGATACACTCCAAATAAGACAAAGATTTAGGAACGTGAATGACTCTACTAAACAAAAACCGAGCTCCCATTTCTTTAAGAGTTCCTTGAGCGTTCAGGTCCTATCTTTTTCATGTTTGCACTCCCAGGAACAAATAAGCAGTGTCCTCCACATATTAAACATTCAAGAAATGCTTGCTGAATTTCTAACACTATTTTCCCTTATACCATAACATCCTGATCATTTATGAGCTAAAGAGCCTTCAGTCAACTCCAAAAGGATGCAGTTACGGTATTCTGTCTTTGAACAGAGAATCAAGGATGAAAGCAACTCAAATATACTATGGATGAATCAGAGTGACATAATGCTATTTCTTCCTTTCATCATAAAACCACACCAGGGTAAATGGAAGCATGCCTGACGACAACTGGACTTATTTTGTATTTAAAGCCAAGCATAAAGATATAATGCTTGCTTAAATTTCATGTTCTATCTTGTTATTCATTATGAAAATCAAAATTTAAACCACTGGTAAAAATCGCGTTTCTTATAAGAAGAATCCTATGCATTCATTCAATTCCTATATAATTACACATCCAATGAAATCAGGTCATCTCAGAGAGTTCATGCTCTAGAAATTCAACCCCCTACCACCGCAGTACAAGATGTAGTTGTTAAAAAGGCAACAAAAACTTTTTCAAATACAAGTGTTACTTCGCAAATTCCATTACATAATTGCAAACAATTTCATACCAATGCAGAGCACAATAACATAGTTTATCAAATAGAGAAAAAGTTAAATGACCAGTGTTTTTAATAATAACTTTAAATGAATCAAAGACAGAACCAGTAGTCCTTTAAAAATTATTTATTTATTTATTTATTTATTTAAGATTTTATTGGGGAATTGTGGGGAGGGGAACAGCGTTGGGGAATCGGGGAAGGGGAACAGACAGGCAGACAAATTGCTGTTTTGTTCTTCAGTCTAGTTGTGGAGGAAGTCGCTTCACTGGCCCATGTTGGTATGATCATTGTGCTCTTCCCGGGTGAGGCAATGGTCGCCGGTCATTGGTCGGCAGCTCACACCAGCTACTAGCTGCTCATGCTGGCTGCCAGCCACTCACATAGCTCACGGCAGCCCACTGCAGCCCTGCTGCAGCCTATGCCATCGCTGGGGACTCACAGCAGCCCAGCTCCAGGTCAAGCTGTTGTTCATCATCTTAGCTGTAGAGGGCGAGCATCACTGGCCCTCAATGTGGGACCTGAACCTCAGTCCTGCTGCTCAGAGCTGGTGCTCCCAAGCGAGCTCTTAACCAGCTGAGCCACTCGGCCGGCCCCAAAAAAATTATTTTTAATTATGGTTGCTATATATTAGTTTCAGGTGTGTACAGTAGTCTTTATTGTCAAGTCAATTCTATGTAGCATGTTAAGTGGACCATAACTATTTCCTCGTTTTAGAATATTTTTCCCCGTTTTCTTTGCCAACTGAACTATTAGCCTCCCTCACATATTGACTTATTTCTGAATTGGACTTCTTCACTAGGTTGAACTCTTTGTTTATATGGCCCATGTACACCTAATACCAGGCACACTGCCGGTACAGTGCAGGCACTTCATGAGTAAACAAATGGCCATTACGAGAAGGAAACACAAAAACTAATATTTGTGTTTGCCAAGAAGGCTGATACAAGGCCTCCCCTTCACAGCACCTAATTTTAGATTGTCCCAGTTTCTATGCTTCTGGCCAATACTTCTCTAGGTATCCTAAGATCAGCAGAAGACAGATCTCAGTTACAGGAGGAGAAAAGACAAAAAACTGCGGTAACGAATAAGCATTGATTCTATTTCTAAACACGATTTTAAGGGATGTTATACAAACCCTTTGAGAAAAGCTACGGCTGTGAGAGAAAACCTTTTTCCAGCCTTCATATTCGAAATAAAAACATTTTAGTAGTGATTCTCAGCCTCCAACATGAGGTAAAATGCAGAACTTAAGCTGCAATGCAAAGACTTCCATTCTATGAATTCACAACCACACTCAGTGCTGGGTGCCTTTGATTCTGTCCGTTGTTCACACCAAAGCTTGGAGGACTTTGTAACACAACTTCATAAGAAATCAAAGAATTGAAAGATTAGATGCAAGTGTGAGCTGATTTGTGCATCTGAAAGGTAGGTGTGCTTCAAATAACAACAGGAAGCGATGTGCAGTTGCTGACCTTCCTGGGAGTGGCAATCCAAGATGCCACGAAGATTTCCTTACGTTAATCACATCAAGATCAACAACTTGATTACAAATGCTAATTCTTGCTCCAAAGAAATTTATGAGGACAAACCAAAATACTCCAAACTAAAAACACACTATTGTGTTACGTTTAATTTTATCTCAGCCAGAAAAGTCTATAAAAATATAACATTACTAAAAACAAACTATTGTGCAAGCCATTTAACTGACTGAAATATATATTCCAATTTTTTTTTACATTAAAAAGTGTGGACACATTCCATTTAGAGTGCATTAAGTATGGTTTTTAGATTCACAGTTATAAAATGTAGGTTTTAGGACTATAACCTCCCATTGTAATAGTTTTTACAGAAAAATTAGACACAACCATTATTTCAACCTGTGGCACCTTTTCCAGAAACAACACATTTTAAGTTCAAGAGTGACTGTTATTTTAAATAGGTCCATTAATAAACTATTATAATACTTGCAATTACTATGGTATTGTAGAATACCGTATTTTCCCATGTATAATGCATGCTATTTTGCCCAAATTTGTGAGGGAAAAATAAGGATGCACATTATACATGGATAGATAAAACATATCTATCTACATGTTTTAAATTCTTTTTTATGCTTATGAGCTAAAAGAATAACTCTAGAAATCAATAACAATATTCACATGCAAAATAATACCCTGAAACACAATAATTGGTTTTGTTGAACTTACAATGGAACTTGCAATGACGAAGAGTTCTTGGCCTTCTGTGATGTGTAAATGTCATACATTTGTTACTGGTACATAAAATTTCTTATACCTTGTATCTGTTCTTGTGTTTTGTAATTATTTGTTACATAAAATTTCTTATACTATAATGTGAAAAAAATCAATGCTAAAATTCCTTTATAATAGAAAAAACAAGTACCTAATTGTAAACAAATGAAAGATTTTTTCCCTGAAAGTTTGTGCCAAAAACATGGGTGAGCCTTATACATAGAAGCGCATTATACATGGCAAAATATGGTAGTTATGACTATTACCTTTCATACCACCAATACCACCCTGGTTTAAGTTCAAAGTCATTAGGACACTGATTTAATAAATACTATAATGTTTTTTGTGATATTTCTCTCTCTGCAACTTCCCAAATACAGGAGAGGCATTTCTCCTCAGAAAATAATACTTTGAAACAAAATCAAATCGCACCTTAATATACAGTTGACTGGAAAACTGACTTCCAAGTCATGGACACTCCTTAAGTCGATTGAAAAGCAAAAATGGTGTGATGTTGCTGGAACAGCGATTTTCTGTCCTGAAGCTGTTTCTGAAGCGTTGGCTATAATCACTGGCTGGGCCACTGAAGCAGGTGCAGAACTGATGGCTAAAATGAACGTAGAAAAAAACAAAACTGCTCAGTTTCTCTTGTTACTCACATAATTTCAAATATCATCTTATTTTCTTTCAATTAAGGAATCTGACTATTTGATTTTATAAACATATGAACTGAGTCATAAACATCTTCAAGTGACTTGTCCCAAATTACGCAGGCCTTAATTCCCTTTAGAGAATGTAAGAAAAAAAAAAAAAAAGAGCTTCCTCTCAACATGTATTGCAAAAATAATAGCATACAGTACTAACTCAGTCATGTATGACAGCAGCCCAGCAGCACTAACTTACTTTCAAGAGGCAGCTGAACAGAACTTAGCATTCGAAGGGTTGTATTTAAGACTTAATGCAAATATAACTACATCACTTTTTCAAAAGTAGTTTTGGTTATTTTAGGCACATATGACATACAATAACACTTAAAAAGACAGAGCTACCTAGTCCAAGTCTGTTATAGACCAGAGATGTTTTTAGTGAGTGACCCAAGTAAGTTTTACAATGAAGTTAAATAGATTTCAATGACTTTAAATTGAATTGTTTTTATATCGCCACACATACTGGCTCTTAAACTCACAATTTTCACTTGGAATCCATAAAATCTATTAGTCATGTATTAGGTGGCTGCAAAATCTATACCTAAAAGATCTGTAAAGACAACATCTTACCCTTTGGATTTGGTTTTGTGTCCTTATCATACTGTAAGCTCTCCACTTCACTTTCTGTTGCATCTTCTTTTGTTGGAGGTGACTGGTTGTGAGGCGGAAGAGGGGACACGCTGGGCGATTCTGGCTCAGTAAGTTTCTCCTTTATGGGGGTTAAAGAACTCTTCTTTGAATGCTGTGGCTCATGTTCATTCTGGGTCTTTAATTCAACTAAAGACTAAAAACAATTTTTAAATACAGTATAAATTACAAAGAACTTTCCTTTATAATTAAGCAAAAAACTTGACTTTTTTATTAAAAAAAAATATGTTTCCTTTTCCAGTTTGGATATTCCTAATCTATTTTTCTTCATAATTTGCAAATTTTCTTATAGCATCTAGGACCAGAAAAAGGAAGATGAACAGGAAGGAAATATATCCAGAGCTAACTACCAAAATGCTTCCTAATGGGTAAGAAGGGATACTGGATAAAAGAAATCAGGCATAAGTGCCCCTGGGAATGATTATTTCTACAAAGGCAATCTAATGGAGGTCTATGTTCCTTTAAACAACAAAACCAGACGTCCAGAGTGATTTTCTTCCTCTCCTTTGCTCTACTACCCTTTAAAAATATATGCACATATATTTTTTAAACTTTCACTTCAGTTTTTCTAGCTCTGATTCATAAGCTATATAAAGATCAGTTCTTTAAAAGAACAGGATGCTAAAGTTGATTTGGAGATATATATAATCAAAAACCATTTACATTCAAATCAATGTCCATCTCTGTTGCTTAAAGAGAGTATGAGGACTGTAAAGCACGAATGAACCAAGAGCCTTATCTTAGCTCACGATAAGTCAACCAAACACAAAAAACAAAAATACCAATAATGCAGGTTCCCAGAAACTAGGTGTAAAGCTAGGTCTTCTCTTTACTAGAGCTGCTTTGCTGCACAGTCATTGACTATGAAGTGAGCGGCGGAATGTTTTCCACTACAGAAGTCTACGAAAAGGCTCTGGATCCAGTCACTTACACTTATATAAACCACAGTAGTGGAAACCACAGAGCTTTTCAGAAAGGTCTTTTCAGAGACGAGGTAGCATACGAGTATCATGTAGGCCACTAATCAAGAGTAATGAGTACTTTCTTATGCTAGGTGACTCTTCCAAAGTTCAGCCTGTGTGAGTCATCACGGGTGACACAGGAGAAGGTGCAGCAGGGGAAGGAGAGTCACTACTTGCCTGGGTGTCCACGCCTTCTCGCTGCAGAGCCACAGACACTCCCACAGTTGGGGCTAGCTCCACAGGAATAGGGGCAAGCTTTTGTTTGGCTCGGTTTGGAGGGTCAAGGATAAAAGCACCCTCAACTGTGACAGGGCGCTGGCTGATTTCTGAACTGCCCTTTTTCAGTAATCCAGTTAAAGGTATTTCTGTACTTCCAAGTGACTGGTCTCCACAGCAGAGATGGATCTAATATGAAAGGGAAAAATCAAAACAGGGCTTTATACTTTCTTCCTTCTCATAAACACATAAGCTTAACACAACGTTATCAAATGATCCATAGAAGGCAAGTATAATGCAAGTTATCTTATTGACCAGCAGTGACTTAGCAATATAGTCTCACACGATTGTTAAAACTGTTGATTAAGCACAAAGTTTACCAAGAATAAATACTTTCATTTTTTCTTTCAGTACTGTTTATATATATATATATATATATATATATATATATATATATATACACACACACACACACACACACATATATATATATATATAAATATTATCACCCTTTTCTTTTTTATCTCTTTGGTGACCTATGGTTACTTTAATTTTTTACTATGCTACTATATATATATTATATATATATATATATATGTATGTATGTGTGTGTATATATATATATATACACACACATATATATGCAAATTGTATCATAAATACATGAATTTACACAGAAAACAAATACCTCATTTTTTTCTATTTCCATTTCAACATTTAAACACAGTTCTTAAAAGCAAGTTAATGGATCCTGCCATATTTGAAAATTAAAAACCTCAAATAATTTTCTTTCATTCATCTTGAAAATGTCTCTCTCTCTTTTCTTTACTTGCTTCTCAGACTTTATAAAACAGTGTCCAACAGTAAAAGGTAAAAGAGAATGTCCCTGGGATGGAAAATGCTGTTAATTACTGATAGCTAATCAAAACTTCAACACTATCACCTTTTGCAACAACAAAAAGGCTATTCTAGAAATATATTATATAACTCTTCTTTTCCCTTACTATATTGAAGCCTTGGCAAACTTAGCATGCATATGAACAAGAAGTAATCACTACATGAAAATATTTTTAGTTCTAACATCAGCAATGATCTGTAACTTAGACTTAATGTTATTAGGTGTGATGATTTTAATGGACTGTAGAGAAGGCGTTTTTATGGCTTAAATGTCCATGAGAATCAAACTAAAAAATAAGTCAATACCTCGATGATATATTAGATATAGAATACAATTCAGTGTGCTTTTTTCCTGCATACTTCATCATTTCATATAGTCCTCAGCTTTCTAAATATCTTGCATTTAGCAGAACCGCCTCTAACATTTAGTTCTACCAGTTTCTTAATGCCTCCTGTCACCTCCCACCCGAAATGCAAGACTGATTACTTTACTATAAACAAATAACTATCTAATGGTGTATTTCACTACCCCGTTTCAGGCTTATTTAAAGCAATTGTAATAAAAAATAGAACAGTAATTTTCACTAGGTAATGTTCACTTTTAAATAGAGTCTAATTTGAAATTAGTTTACAAAAAATACTCAATTCAGTGGCAGGTTTTAGAACATTGTATTCTTTCTTTGCCTTAATAGCAATAAGGAATATAAATTCTGAAATCTGAAATGTGATCTGTGCCTACAGGTACTATCCCCACTAAACAATAATGAAACCTTCCTTGTGTCCATAGATTTCCGGTACAGGTACAATTTTTTTTATTATTATTATAAAGGACTGATAACTGACATACCTCTTTTCACGTTAACTTGGTAAGGAGCTGTATCTCTTAAAATTCTGAAGTAACTGTTATGCCATGACTTTACAACTCAGAATAATTACTAAAACAATGAAAAGATGTGATAGAAAGAAGACCTCCACCACTGAAATAAGATAGTTTAGGTACCTCTCAAATGCACAAAAAAGTGATCCTTAATAAAAACCATTTTTCTGCAGAACTTACCTGTAGTTTAGACTGAAGGGCCAGGTAAACACGAAGAATTTCTACATTGCTACGTATTCGAACAGATGCTTTCTCTGGCTCAAAGTTTGGGTTGATCAAATCATTGAAGGGTTCATTTGTAACATCATTTCCCAGTAAACAATAGTAAAAGAAAAACTCAGGCTGTCTTTCTGGAAGTTTCATGGAACATGGAATTAACTAAATATTTAAGGAAGAGAAAAAAAAGAGTATTATTTCGTAAACCACTAAACATGCTTATTAGTATATAATGAACTCCAAAAACATTTGCAAAAATGTTAATTTTTTTGACAAGTCTTAAAATCAATCACTCAAAATAGCTAAATCTCTGCCAAATTACTACCAAATCACTAGTTTGATTAATGTTTTAAAGTTTATCTTAGAAAAGCACAAAAACATTAAAATATTTTTATAGTTTTATGTTGTTTTAAAGTTTACATTTCATTTAACTGGTCCATGAATAAAAACACAAAACTTCTTTTAGAAGAAAATAATCAAGTGTTGTAAACTGAGCTGTCCTTAGTTCCACATACCTTATTCCATCTAATACTCATTCTGCCACCCTCTTCATAAATCAGAGGTTTTTTAAAAATCATAATCCAGGCTATTTAATATATCATCTTAGTCCAGGGTTTAGAAAAAAAGCTTTTAGCCACTCTGTCAAAATTTGGAAACCTATAAATTAACAGTTGTCAAAGAATGCCTTCTGTACTAGTTTAATGGCCACATATGATGAAGACATGGGATTCTTGTTCCAGAAAATATAAAATATCTTCTAACAAATATTTAATGTTCTCTAGAAATTGTAAAAAATACAATAAACTATAAACAACTGATGTGTTTGTCAATAGGCTTAAACATATTATAGTGATCATACAGCGTGTCTGCTAAATAATGATACATTGACATGAAAGTTACCTAAGATATACTACTTGGTTAAAAAATAGTTATAAGACAATTAGTATAGTTTGTGGGGAAAAAAAGTACAATAACCAGACTAAAACAGATTAAAACGAATAAAATTTAATTCATGTATTGAGCACCTAATAAATATTCAAGTTATTTATTTTATGTAAAACATAAAGTAAAATAGGCAGTCAAGATGGCAGAGTATCTAAACTCTGTGTTTGCCCCCTTCCACGACCACATCCAATTTACAACTGAAGTATAGAACCACCATAATTGAGAACCACCTGAAGACTAGCCGAACAGAATTACTACAACTAAGGACATAAAGAAGAAGCCACTTGGAGACTGGTAGAAAGGGCTGAGACGCAAAACCGGCTGGTCCCGCACCCATGTGTGGTGATTAAAAACCAGGAAGGATATCTTGTCTGCAGAGGTCCCCTTGAGAGTGAGGGGTCCCAGCCCCACACCAACTCCCCAACCCAGGGCACCAGTGCCAGGAAGACAAGTGCCCTTAACATCTGACTGTGAAAACCAGCAAGGATTCTATCTGAGAAAGACAACAACCTGCTGCAGCCCTTGGTGCTGCGGGATTTAAAGGGCCCAAGCACAGGTGCACAGGCGCACAGGCTCACATGCTCTGAGACCCACTGCTGGAGCAGCAGCAGAAAAAGTGCCAGGGACCTATGGGGAGCAACTAAACTGGCTAGCTTCAGGGCAAGGGCTAGAAGGGCAGGGGTCAGAGCAGGCCTCTCCAGAGAAGCAAGTGTTGGCAGACACCGTTGTTCTTTTGTTGAGTCCTCCCCACCACACAACCTGCAGACACAGGTAGGCACCAAGTCTGAGCTCTCCATTAACCTGGCTAACACCATTAGCCCTACCCTGATGATTCCCTGAGACCCCCACCTAACCCAGTTCAAACACCCAGCCCGAAACTTTTTCAGCAGCTTTCTCACACAAATGGCTTGCCTCGGCTCACGCTGTGGACATTCTTAAAATCTCTCAAAGGTAAACAAATCCCAAACAAGCAGCGACAAGTCTTGGCGTACTGTGTACCTCTTGTAATCAGTCCCAAGCCTGGCACTAGTGGCAGCTAGCCTCGGTTTACAGCACAGCCTCTCCCAAGTGCCCCCAAGCCTTTCAGAGGAAGCAACCAACAGCAGATAACTTTGTAGCTCCTACCAGGTGGCCTCGGCTGGGCAAAGGCAGTGACTGACCTTGGCCTGCAGCAGAGCACCTTCAAGAGGCCCAGAACCAACAAACTCAGTGGATGGCTTCAGACCACAACAGATAACCACCCAACCAGCTCCACAAATGACACACCCAAAGGGCAGACTTCGCAGGCACAAGTACCTTGCTAAAGTGAATCCTGGTCTGTAGGGTCTGCTGTAGTCATGGCCAGTCCTCACAGCCAGTCAACATTAAGTTCAATCCTACCCACTGACATGCCAACTGCAATGCAGGGTCAACTACAACAGGAGGGCAAACACACCCCAAAGAAGGGATACCCTTGGAGCACCCAGCTCAGGTGACCAGGGAGACTGTACCACTAGGTCCACAGGACATCTACGACTTAAGGCCACCTGCCAAGACTGGGAGACATAGCAGGTCTACCTAATACAAAGACATAAACACAAGGAGTCAGCTAAAATGAGAAGACAAAGAAACATGTCCTAAATGAAAGAACAGGACAAAACCCCAAAAAAAGAACTAAATGAAATGGAGACAAGCAATCTACCAGGTATAGAGTTCAAAACACTGATTATAAAGATGCTCAATGAACTTCAGGGAAGAACAGATGAACTCAGTGAGAACTTACACAGAGATAAAAACCATAAAAAAGAACCAGTCAGAAATGAAGGCTACAATAACTGAAATAAAGAATACATTAGAGGGAATCAACTGCAGATAAGATGAAGCAGATGACTGAATCATAGATCAGAAAGGTGGCAGAAAACATCCAATCAAAACAGCAAAAAGAAAAAAGAATTTAAAAAAATGAGGATAGTTAAATGGACTTCCAGGACAACAACATTAAGTGTACCCACATTAACATCATAGAGGCATCAGAAGGAAAAGAGCGAGCAAGGGCCTGAAAATCTATTTGGAAAAATAACTGAAAACTTCCATAACCTGGCGAAGGAAATAGACATAAAAACCCAGGAAGCACTGAGTCCCAAACAAGATGAACCCAAAGAGGCCCACACCAAGACACATCGTAATTAAAATGCCAAAGGTTAAAGACAAAGAAAGAATCTTAAAAGTAGCAAGAGAAAAGCAGTTAGTCACATATAAGGGAGCTCCCATAAGACTGTCAGCTGATTTCTCAACACAAACTTTGCAGGCCAGAAGGGATTGGCAAAAAATATTCAAAGTGATGAAAAGTAAGGACCTACAACCAAGATTACTCTACCCAGCAAAGCTATCATTTAGAATTGAAGGAGAGAGACAGTTTCCCAGATAAGAAAAAGCTAAAGGAGCTTTAACCACTACATCAGTATTACAAGGAATGCTAAAGGGACTTCTTGAAGGAGAATGAGAGGGAGAAGGAGGAGAAAACAACATAAAAAATATGAATCGAAAATAAAGGGAATAAAAAATTCTCACTGACAAAGGCAAACAATAAAATGAGTGGACTAAACCAATTATAAAGCTTTACAAAGTTTAAAAGGCAAAAGTAGAAAAAGCATATGTAATTACAACAATAAATTAAGGAATAAATACAAACACACAAAAGTAAAAAATAATGACAACAACATGTGTTCCATGTCTTGTTAGGGAGACCGCATCATGGATGGGGTAGAGGTTTGATCACCGCACTGTACACCTGAAGCTGATGTTGTGTAATATTGTATGTCAACTATAAGTGAATATATAT